AAAATAAATTATCAAAAACTTGAAAAAAAAAATTAAACGGAGGAATAAACGGGGAATGAACGTACCCCCGCCCCCACCCTACTTAAACGGGGATGGGGCGGGGAATTTCTTAGCGGGGCGGGGAATTTTTTAGCGCCCCGTTGCCATCCCTAATAATTTTGAAATGAAGCAGAGCTATTGTTGCGGTGTTGACCTGGATCTTGAAAACTTCTTCGCAGGATCTCCTTGTTTTGTCCAGTGTGTATAGTTGGCGGAAGCAACTAGCTGCTAGGTTGCAACTTCCAAACGCCGGAGGTAAGACTCCTGGCCTATCAAGAGCTCATGTAGCTCCTCAAACGCCATTGAGGTCTCCCGTGCTCGGATTAACTCTGCAATCTTCCTGAAGTCAGGACCTAAGCCATTTAAAATATAAAGGGTTAGTTCATCATCCGAAATCGGATGATCAATAATTGCGAGTTCATCAGCCAATGCCTTGACCGCATGCAAGTAATTAGAAATCGACCGATTTCCCCGCTGAATCAAAGTAAGTTCCTCCTTCAGTTGCATAGCCCGTGTCCTTGAACGGCTGGCATAGAGGTTATGGAGTTTTTTCCACGCCTCACTGGAGGTCTTGGCTGTGGCTATGAGGGGAGTGATGGTGGGAGATGTGGAGGCTAGGATAGCACTTAAAATGAGTTTGTCCTGCCGAACCCAGTAGGTTTTAATCAAATCAGCAGAGGAGGTACCATTGGAGGAAGGACACAAGGTGGCACCATTTACATATTCAAGTAAATCATAGCCGATGAGGAGTGCTTCGAATTGAGCACGCCATTGGGGAAAGGTGGAGGGAGTCAATTTTTCATTGATTTGGACAGTGATGTTTAGAGCAATAAGAGGCGTAAGCAGCAGTGGAGAAAGGCTGAGTATTGAGATTGATGGTTTCAGTTTGATTTGAGAAAGAAGACATGGTTGAATCGGGATCGTTTGCTCGTGAGAGAGGGGCTGCTATGATACCATACAAAAATCTGCACTGCACAGGTTTGAAGACAATTGTTTCCCAGCACACTTTCATTGATATGAAGACT